TGATTAGTTGTGATATTAATGATTGTGATTTTTTTATATTGTACAATGAAATGTGTCGACATTTGGAAAATCTGCATAACTCAATGAAATGATATTTTCCAAATGACCAATATATGATGTTATGAAATTATGCATGGGGAAAAGTTCCATTCAAAATGCAAGGTAGATCAATGTTTAATGGAACAGAGCATTAAAAGTGTACTAATGTGGTTTCAGATACCAGATTGCAACTAACTTTTAAGAAACTACTACTTATTGAGTTTTAGTATACTATCAAAAAGAATATTCATAATTATCTGAAAAAGTTATTAAAATGTTTTCCTTTACTTTTAAAAAATTACTATTTTTCCTCAATTACATGTAAAACAATTTTAACATTCATTTTTTAAAATGTTGAGTTTCAAATTCAATTCCTCCATTCTCTTTTCCTTCCTTGAGAAGGCAAGCGATTTGTTATAGATTATACATATGCAGTCACACAAAACAAATTTGCACATTAGCCATGTGGGGAAAAAAACAAGAAGAAAAATAAGAAAAGTTTAAAAAGCATTCTTCAATCCACATTCCGAATTTCTCAGTTCTTTCTCTGAAAGTGGATAGCATTTTTCATCATAAATCCTTTGAAATTGTTTTAGATCATTGTATTGCCCAGAATAGCTGTCATTCACAATTGATCATCATACAATATTGCTGTTACTGTGCACAAAGATCTCCTGGTTCTGCTCACTTCATTTTGCATCAGTTCATATATGTCTTTTCAGTTTTTTCTGAAATTTGCCTGCTCATCATTTCTTATAGCACAATAGTATTCCATTACAATCCTATACCATAACTTGTTCAGTCATTCCCCTATTGATGGGCATTACCTCAATTTCCAATACTTTGCCACCACAAAAAGAGCTGCTCTAAATATTTTTGTACATATAGGTCATTTTCTTTTTTCTTTTCCTTTGACCTCTTTAGAGTACAGACCTGGTAGTGGTACTGCTAGGTCAAAAGGTGGGCACAGTTTTATAGCCCTTTGGGCATAGTTCCAAATTGCTTTCCAAAATGGTTGAATCATAAAAAAGTGAAAAAGACCCCCAGGTACACATGTACAGTGTCACTGGATCAAAGAATACATGGCAGGGAATGAGGTGTAAGAAAACTGTAAAAGTAGAAAGGAGCTGTGTTATGAAGGGAGGGGTTTGAATGCCAGACAGAGTATTTTGTGTTTGCTTCTGGAGGCAATAGGAAGCCACTGGAGTTTATTGAATAGCAGAGTGACATGGTCCAACCTGCACTTTAGGAAAATCACTTTAGCGGCTAAATGGAGGATGGATTGGAGTGGGGAGAGACTGGGGCAGGCAGACCCACCAGCAGGCTATTGCAGTAATCAAGGCATAAGGTAATACCTGCACTAGAGTGATGGCAGTGTCACAAGAGAGGAGAATAGAAGAGATGCTGCAAAGGTGAAATCGACAGGCTTGAGCACCAGCTTGGATATGGAGAATGAGGAATCCAACATGATTCCAAGGTTGTGAGTCTGAAGGACTGGAAAGATGGTGGTGTGCTCTACAGTAATAGGAAAGGGGGCAAGGTAGGGAAGGTTTTGGGGAAAAGATAATAATGATTTCTGTTTCGGTCATATTGAGTTTTAGATGTTTACTGGACATCCAGTTTAAGATATCTGAGAGCTAGTTGGAGGTATAACATTGGAAGTCAGCAGAGAGACTGGACCAGGAAAGGTAGGTGAAGAAAGAGAATGTTTCAGGTATGGGGAAGAGACAGCCATTAAATTAGAGACCAGACTGGAGTCTTCCCAGCTTCAAGAACATCTCTCTATCTACTACACCACACAGTCTCTCAAACTATGGCTCTGAAAATTGACAGGTATGGAGTGGGCTAAGCACAGATGCTTTTATATTCCTTAAATTGGCAGGAGATCCCTTAGTAATTATAGATTTCATCTGACCTTAGTCTTATTATGCACAGAGAAAGAGAACTAGACATGTTATGTAGCTACACACAGAGGGAGGGAACATGGCCCAGTGTGAAGTTCTTTGAACTTAGAGTTTCAGGACCTGAGTTTGAATTCTAGTTAAAACACTTACTCTACCCATGTGACCTTGTGCAAATCACTTTACCCCTATTGGCTTCAGTCTCCTAATCTGGAAATAAGAGGACTGCACTATAATGCCTTCAAGGTGTTTTCCAGCTCTTGATCTATGATCATTTCCTAGTAAGCTTTCACCTGGAATCTTTAACTGATCTGCATAGAGTAATCTCCATTTTATAGCTGTAGATGCTGATGAATACCAAACCAAGGTGATTTGTCAATGGATAAACTGAAATGAAAAGTGCTACATTCAGCAGCCAGTTTTGTTGTTCAGTCTTAGAGGTAGTATTTGATAAAGTACTAAGACAACCACTCCGGACAATAACAACAATATGAATAGCCCAGAGCCCCCATCCCATAGTTTAAGTCAAGTCTTCTCCTGAAAGTCAAGAAAGCTGTTCCCAGTACTTGATTTGCCTAAGGAGCTAAGTCTCAAACTGCCTAGCTCTTGACCAGTGGCTCAGGTCACATTAACTTGGTTTCCTGCTCTCCTCAGGGCATAAAAGGCCTCTCCACCAAAGTCAGGAAGAAGGGCTCTAAGTAAAACTTCCTTTTGTTAACTGTTGAACAATATACAAGTGTCTTACTTCATTACTGTATTAGACCTAAACTGACTGGCCTGAGCCAGGCCCAGAGAAGGACAGTTCATAAATGATGTTTATGAAAAACTCTTTCATGTTAAGGAAGGGGCAGAGTACCATTGTACACATGCTGGTGATTCAGCCTACTTTACTACTTTGGTGAAGGTTTGGAAGGTCTAAGCAAGTATTATTTTTAATATCCCATATGGGGAAAAAAAAAGAAATCCCATGTAATTAGCTCCTCAATTTTGTCATATACTTATTTTCATGGTAACAAGTTAGAACCATGTTCTTATATAAGTATAAGGGACCTTACCAAACATCTACTCCAAAATCCTCAATTTACAGTTGAAAAACCTGAGGCCCAGAAAAGTTAAGTAACTTATCCAAGGTAACAGAATTAGCAAGAGGTGGTATGATGCAATGTGTTGGGCTCTGGACCTGTAGTCAGGGGACATTCTCCGGTCAGAACACTTTTAGAGTGCTCTGCTCAGTTTTGGGAGCCGTATTTTCAGGAAGCACAATTGATAAATTGGAACAGGCCCAGATCAGGGCAACCAGGGTAGTGAGGTGACTTGAGGCCATGCTTTATGAGGACTGGTTGAATTTGTATAAAGTCAGTCCATTATATCAACCAATCAGCAACATTTATTCGATATCCTTGGGCCATTTCACTGAAACTTGATTCTCTCATAAATCCATGATACTAAAGATTTGAGCTAAATGTGAAGACTTGTAAACAAGTCTAGAACTCGGACTCTAGAAACCAGGCTGGAAAACAATTCTATGTAAACTTACCCAGATGCTAACATACCTATTAAGGGTTAGGACACTTACAACATTAGGCTTGCTTGCACAATGACACACCTGATGACTCTTGTTTGATGTATAGGCACTCCCTCTTTCAGTGTCCTTGTTGAGTTACACAGTCCAGGTTACCTGAATGGAAGTGTTATTTCATTGTATGTCACTCCACAAGAGTGGTGAGACATGACAGGGTGTGGCTTCACATGTCACTCATTTCAATATTCATAAGATTTGTGTTTGGGCACCCCCTTCACCAGTGCAGATCACTCCTCCCCTTAGCAGAATATCTTCCTTCCTTGCCTCTTTACTTCCTTTTCTCCTTTCTTCTTTCTTTCCCTCCTTCTCTCCCTTCCTCCCTTCACTTATATTCCACATAGGAATATAAATTTTGATTGCTGAAACCTCACAGGATATCTTGGGGTTTATAGGCTGGATTTCCTTTTTAAGGACCTCGCTTTAAAGCCAAATCACTCTGGCTCTCATTGGTTGGCCAACAATAGATCCCAGCTCAAGCTTTCTTTGGTCATTGTTTGGGCTCTGAGGGTTCAGAGTGAGCATAAATAGAAAGCCTTTCTGTTTTGGTCAGAAACCCTGAGAGTCTTCCCCTCCCAGACTAAATTTTTTTTGACTAGGTAAAACAGGCCATTCTTTGCCTCATTTCTTACCTAGTCTTAATCACTGAATGGACATTGCCTCAGACAAACTGAGACCAAAGAAAGACCTCAGCTTAAAAAGGCCAAGGTCTCCCACTGCATCCACAGACATCTCCAGCCATCCTGATCTATATCTTGCCACTGGACCCAGACAGCTGTGGAGGAGAGAATGAGTTTGGGGACTTTGCACAGCCTTGCCTCACTTAAATCAAATTCATGATATTGCAAGTCATGACATCACCTTCCTGATGTCATGGTCCTATTTGAGAAGGAAGGATAAACAACAACCATCATGAGTTGCTGTGACCCAAATATGTTGTCATCTTTTGGTCTTTCACCATCCTTTGCTGATAATAAACCTCTTTTGATATAGCTTGGCTGGTCCCTGTAGGACAGACATGCAATCCATTCCAAGCCATAGTTTGGATTGGATTTTCCAGGATTTATACCACCTCCAAATGATGATGAGTCATAATGTAACACTTTTGTAGACACACGCTTCAATTATCTAAATACATTTGCTGACAAATCTTAGGTACCTGAAAAGTAACTTACTAGACATGATTATTTTGTCCCTAATAAGCATACATTCCAGGCATAGAATCATAGAATATTTGCTGTAAATGACAGAATGCCCAAAAGTGATGCATGGGAAAGAGATAGCAATCCCTTAGAGATAATAAGGAGCTTAGTGTTTCTCCAGAATGCCCAAAAGTGTTGGGTAGAGCACTCAACCCCTGCAAAGAATGTGTGCCTGACAGTGTTTGGTCCTTGTCATTGGACGGGCTCAAGTCACAGGCCAGCCGTGCCTCCAGTGGTTCAATTTATACAAATCTTTTAATCTCAGTAATCCTTTTAATCTCAAACAATTCAGAGAATGACACTAATTGCAATTCCATTTTCTTTAAAGTATACTTGTTGTGTACATATAGAGAGAGGAATGAAAAATCAAACAATGATAGAGTACCATAATCCCCAATACATTTGGACCTGCTGGCATGGAGAAGATCAGAGAGCACAGGTATAGGAGCATGAAGGTGGATCCTTTGGACTGATTCCAGAAGGGTTACATTATATTGGGATAAAAAAGATCAGCAGGGTCACAGGCAATATTAAAATTAAAGTGAGAAGGAATTTTGCTTCAGAGGGCAGAATTTTTTTCCTTGATCCAGAGTGGTAGGTTTCTTTATATGAACAGAATTTTCCATTCCAGGGAGTATAACACTGGCACACAAATTCCTTCTGCAAATATAGTACTTCTTCTTTTGAAGTTCTTTGAGATGGGATGAACTTCAGCCCCCTCTTTAACTTATGCCTCATAATGCTGCCCACGGGCATATGTAGATAGGAGTATGAGTCAGCTTCTCTCCTAACGCATCTCCCGTTATTGTTGCAAAGAATTCTACTGCAGCGTTGGGTAGCTGTTGTCACATTGACGATATAATGACCAAAAACTCCATTAATGAATTTCTGCACTGTTAAGCAATTGTTCTATAAAAAAAGAGAAATCATCTCAAATTAATCATAATATATGTTATTTTCCAGATGACAAGGACTATAATTAACCATTAAAAAAAAACATTTGATAGAGTGTCTGGCATAGTGGGCAGAATTCTAGCTTTGGCATCAGGAAGATTGGGGTTCAAGATCTATTCATGCATACTAGCTCAGTGGTCTTAGACAAGTCCCTTGATTTCTCAGTGTCCCAGGCAACACTCTAAGGGTGAGGGGATGGTAATAACCATTTATCTATTAGGAACTTACTATGTGCTAAGCACTGTGCTAAATGCTTTACATTATTATCTGATTGTGATCCTCACAATGACCCTGAGGAATAGGTGCCCTTATTATATTTCATTTTACAGTTGAGGAAACTGAGGCAAAGAAAAGTTAGATTGGCACAAGATCACATAGCTAGTAAGTGCCTTAGGTAAGATTTGAACTTGTCTACCAGACTCTGGGACCAGGCTGTATGTACTGTGCTACCTAACTGCCCCTAGACAGCTTTATAGTTGCATCTATAAACATATTATTGTCTAAGGTGTTGAAGACCTCTTCTCCTATCTACCTTTTCATAGTAGAGTTAATGATACATAGTAAATTTGTGGACTGAGCTTCTAAGGGATGAAGGGTCAAAAAGAGGAAGAAAAAACTCAAACATAAGGCCTGTGCACAATTCACACACTGGGTATAGGCCTATAAATCAATCTCTCCCTTTTTCAGAGTTCCTTCTGCTTTCAGAGTAAATACAGCTAGTATTCCTCTTGCTGTAATTAGCACCTAAATATACTCTAAAGGTTTCATTCACGTGAAAGAGATAGCTGGTATAATAAAAAGAATACTATACTGATGGGGCAGCTAGGTGGTGCAGTGGATAGAGCACCTACACTGGATTCAGGAGGAACTGAGTCCAAATCTGGAATTAGACACATAACGCTTACTAGCTGTATGACCCTGGACAAGTCACTTAACCCCACTGCCTAGCCAAAAAAAAAAAAAGAATACTACACTTCAGTCAGAAGATTTGAGTCCCAATTAGGCTCCTCTAATTTATAAACTATGTGACCTTGGGCAGCTCAACTACTGGGAGTCTGTGTTTCTTCACGTATCAAGATGAGATTACTGGCCTACATGACCTCTAAGGGCCCTTCCCATTTTCAAAGTCTGTGATTCAATGTGCTGTCTCCCTAGCTGCATTAGAATCTCCTCAGGGCAGGGGCCATGTTAGTGCCTCCTCTCTAATGATTATCCTTAGTTTGTTCTGTATATATCTCGATTATATTGTGAGCTCCTTGAGAGTCATTTTTGCCTTTTTTCTAACCTTAGCATTTGGCATAGTGCTAGGCACATAGTAGGTACTTAATGCTTATTAACTAACTGATCTTTATGTACTCCCTCATGATTAGTAAAGTATTGTTCAGTCATTTCAGTTGTACCGACTCTTCCTGACTCCATTTAAGGCTTTCTTCATAAAGATACTGGAGTGGTTTGCCATTTCCACCTCCAGCTCATTTAACATTTAAAGAACTGAGGCAGACAGGGTTAAGTGAATTGCCTAGGATCACACAGCTAGTAAATGTTTGAGGCCAAATCTGAGCTCAGGAAGATGAGTCTCTTGACCTCAGGCCCAGCATTCTGTCCACTGAGCCACCTAACCACTCTGTTTAGCAAAGTATTGGGTACCTAGTGGGCAACTGGAAAATTCTTTTTGTTTGTTAGGTAGATTGAAGAATCTCATATTAAGTAACTGTAGTAGTGTTGAATTAAAAGGAGGTAATTAAGATGGATCCAAATAAAGCCAGCCAGAAGAATACTACCTGGACAATTCTACCCCTAAATCTATGATTCTTTGAACTTTTCTTTCAGGGTGCTGATAGAGAAATATAAATGAAAATCAAACTTACTTTTGAACTGGAATACTCCATTCCTCCCCATATTACCACACCTTCTGCCCCCATTGCAGCACTCTCACCAATAGTGTACAATAAATCATTCTGGAATGAAAAAGATTCAGAGTCATTCCTGAAAACTAAGGGGTAACAGGAGTAGGATTCAGCCCACCAACCACAGTGCACTTAGGCACCCACAGTTTCATTTTGCCTTTTGTTATTTACTATGTTCTAGAATGTGTGTGACTGATAAAGTAGGTAGCTAAATAAATCTTTCATTTCAGACATTGTGTCTAAATAGTGAATGGAAAGTAATGGCAAATATGACTTTTAAAATTCTACCATTCTAATAAATACACCTCTAGAATAGGAAAGATCAGTCAGCTTTTCAAGATTATAAGTTCTTAGTATCTAGAAGGGATGTTCTGTCATTGAATATATGCACATATACAGTTGTATAAAGGCTGACACAAGAATGGCAATGTTTTATTAAGGGGAATCTTAGTGAGATAGAAAGAGTTCTGAGCTTAGATCCAGAGCTTAAGTGTGAACTCATCTTTACTAGCCATGTGACTAGCCATTTAAGCTCTCTGAAACTTAAATTTCTTCATGAACAAATAATGATAATTCCATGTATACTTTTTTTTTTTTTAATTTGGTGAAGCAATTGGGGTTAAGTGACTTGCCCAGGGTCACACAGCTAGTAAGTGTTATGTGTCTGAGGCAGGATTTGAACTCAGGTCCTCCTGACTTCAGGGCCGGTGCTCTATCCACTGCGCCACCTAGCTGCCCCTCATGTATACGTTCAATAGGCTTGTTAGAAAACATTTGAGAAATTAAATCTCTCTAAAAATGTGAATTATTATTATTTATTCCCATCAAAGACCTGGTAGGTAGCATGGCCTATTTGGATACAAAATTGGCCTTGGAGTCTGGAAGACCTGAGTTTTAAATCCTACTTCTAACATACTTGCTCTGTGACCATAAAGATGTCACTTAATATTTCAATGTCCTAGTCAACTACTTCAGGCTATAAGTTATAGACAAGTTGCTGACAGATAAGTAGAGGAAAACTAAGTATGATTTGAGAGAGGTTTGGGCCAAGTCTTGTAGGATAAGTTGGATTTGGACAGGGAAAAATGGGAAGGATACTTCAGCCAGAAAGAGTGGCATAGAATAAGGGAAGGAAAGTTATAAGATATGTTAAGGAATGGTAGTAGAAGCAATTCGGTTGGAACGGTAGGGAAAGTAGGTGGAGACAAGATAGGAAAGGTAGATTATAGAAGATTTTGACTAATAGGCTAAGGAACATGAAATTCATCCCACAGGGAATGGAGAGATATTAAAGGTTTAGGATCTAAGGAGAAAAATTGTGAAATTTCCCTTAGGAATCACACTGGATAGAACACTAGACTTGGAGACTGGAAAATATGAGTTCAAATCCTAAGATACTAGCTCTGTGACCCTGGGCAAGTCATTTAACCTGTCCATCTGCTTCAATTTCCTCCTCTGGAAAATGGGGATAATAATAGCACCTGACTCCCAGGCTAATTGTGAGGATAAAATGAAATAACATCTATAAAATGCTCTCAAGACCTTAAGACATTATATAAATACCAGCTAGCTAGTAGTGGTAGTAATGGTAGCAGTGGTAGAAGTAGTAGTGTGGTGTGGTGGTGGTGTGTGGTGGTGAAGAATTTTAGAATTTCAAAGTTAATCTAATCCAATCCAACAAGCATTTACTAAATGCCTATGCTATACAAATTTGGCTTCAGACACTTAACTAGCTTTGTGACCATGGGCAAGTCACTTCACTCTGTTTGCCTCAATTTTCCCATCTGCAAAATGAGCTGGAGAAGGAAATGACAAACCACTCCACTATCTTTCTTTGCCAAGAAAACCCCAAATGGGGTCACAAAGAGTTGGACATGATTGAAAGGACTGAAGAATAACAACAAAATTATGTGCAAAGCTCATCATGGTGCAATGCATAGAGAGCTAGCCTCAATGCCAAGAAGTCTTGGGTTCAGGCCTGTCTCTGAAAAATACTAGCTGTGTGACAGTGGGTTAATCCTTTAAACTTCCTCAGTGCTTTAGACAATTCTCTAAGACTAAAACTATAAGAGAGGATGCCTATCTGCATTGAGAGGTAATTATCACACCTATAAATTTCCTAGATCAATGAAATCATAAATCTAGTCCCTAATCCCTATCTCCTTTATGCTAGGCATTATGCTAGGTGCTGTTGATATAAAAACAAAATGGAAAAAAAAATAGTCCCTATCCTCAAGAAACTTCTATCATACTGAGAAAGGAAGATGGGTGGTAGAGAAGAAATGATGGTAAAAATGTAAATAGATAAATATATGCATGGTAATTGGAGGAAGGAGAGAGCATTAATGACTAAGGAGATCTGGAAAGGTGTCCTGTAGGAAGGAGCCTAGAAGCTGAGTCTTGAAATGAGATTTAAGAACATTTTTATGACATTTCTAAAGGGTATCATGTGAGGATACCCCAAGGCCCATGTTTCTCACTACAATTAAAATACATTACTTTGTCACTTTGTTGTGACTGGCACTGATCTTCAAGTTAGCTTGACCTTTGAAGGAACAATAATAATAGTAATAAGTGGTAGAGGATTAAGTATTTAAATTATTCATTAAAGAAACAATAACAACTTTCTGAAAAAAAATTTCTTTTGTAAATATATCCCTACCATATTTCTATCCTGTATCTGTTTTTTAAAAAGAAAAAAAAAACTTTTAGGGTAAGAGAGAACAGGAGTGCTTACCTTAGTCAAGGGCTCGGTACCATGGGTATAAAATAGCCTAGTATAAACAAAAACAGGCAAAGCGTAGTCTCTCCTAGCCCTTTGGGAAATTCTCATTGCTTCTTTGACTCGATAGTGAACAAATTTCTGGGTATTTACAGCATCCTTCAACATCAGTGGCAAGTATATAGAAGGATAAAGAGCAGTGCTTTCTTGCCATAGCCACTGGAGGTCATCATTGAGTGAAATTTCCCCTTTTTCACATTGCCCAGTATATGCCTGTGGGTGTGCGTCGTAATGATTATTGTAGCATTCTGGGTAAAGGAAAAAACCCCAGTGTCCTCGTGGTCTGATTTCTACTCCCATGCGAAGAGTAGAATTCATAAAATTCTTGGCAGCACTTTCAAATTCCTCTTTTGCTTTTGCTTGTACTTCGGGTACTGACAAATTCTTGGGTTCGCTTTTAATAAGGTATAAAGTGTGCATTTTATATACGTTTTTAGAAGCCCCATTTCTTTCCCACTGAGGGCTCCACTCTTCCCAGTCAATAACAGCCAGTCCTTGGAATTTTCCTGAAGGAATGGCTTTCTCGATGTCCTCCTTGCTCTTTTCAAGGTGCATAGGAAGGTTCTCTTTCTGAGGTATTCCTCCATTGATAACTGTTCCATTTTGATCAATGTAAGGGTAATTCCCCAATTCTTTTTCATAAAATGTGGTAACATGGGGTCCATTGAATGCCTCATTAGGGTTAACCACAATGCCAAAAGCTTGGAGATTTAGATCCACATCAAAAAGCTTCTTGCACTGCGTTGTAGGAGCATTCCAGTATATCATAAAAGGTTTGGACTCTATTATTGGGGGTTTTGATTCCTTTAGACTTTTAGCATCGACTTTGAATGAAAACATTAGCATTAATAGCCATGTCATCTGCAGGCTTGTAGTTTTCACTGAAACTATCATAATGATTTCCTTTAAAAGAGAAACAAGAAAAAATGTAGATTAAACCAATACGAGCTACATATAGTGTGGGGTGTGGCTGTAGCTCTGTCCCTATTTACAATAGGCAATGAATGTTTACCAGGTAAAAATCAAATGGTTTTCAATTTCAATTCATCAATATTTATTAATTGCCTATTATGTTACAGCCTCTGTACTAAGTAAGCACTGGGGATACAAAAAGAGGATTCCAAAGCCAACACTAAGCCAGTGACAAAAAGGAGAAAGATGTGGAAGGTTTATTGTCTTTAATGAAAACTAGGCCCAGGTAAGATTGGGGTAGGGGGAGAGGAGAAAACCTTGTTTTCTTTTCTGGCAGGACTTGAATTGTGGGCATGGCTAAAGAACCCCTGCTTACTTTTTCTTTTTTAAGAATGTTTCAAAATCATATTTGCCTCAAAGACTTTGCTAGAAATAAACCATCCAACTTCATTTTGTCAGACTGAAATGAAGCTCAAAAATGATGCCCTACTTCCTTTTTCTGTAAATAATCAATAGATACTTATTAAGCACCTGCTATGTGCCAAGCACTGGGAATACAAAGAAGCAAGACAGTCCTGCCTTGAAGAAGCTTACAACATAATGTCACTTAAGTCACTCTTCTGGGTCAGAGTTGGCCCCGGGGAACAGGACTTCCTGGTCTCCAAAAAAAAAAGAAGAAGTGTGTGTGTGAGAGTAGGAGATCCAGTCAATATGGTTACTAAGAAAAGGTGAAAAGAAAGGAAGATATAATTGGCATTACCTGATGTTGCTTATGGACTTCAGGGAAACTCCCCTTATCTACCTCAATGAATCTGAAATCTTAATTAGGTCTTTGACTCTGTGACTTGGGGCTGAAGATATTTTGGCTGGGCAGTCTGATAAAACTTCAACTCATCAAAACCAAAATGAGGAATGGAATTTGGAGCCTACCTTATGTCTGGCCAGTTGTTGGGTTAAGTAACTGCCAACAGATTATTGAGTCATAAGAGCTAAGAGTCTTAGAATTCTAATAAAGTCTGAGGTCACATAGTCTAACCATCCACCTGATAACAAGACCAGGATTTCCCTCTACAACATTTGGCTTGTGCTTGAAAACTTCCTATGATAGGGAAAGGAAATAACGTTCCAATTTTGGACAGTGTCTAGCTGTTAGAATTATCTGCCTTCTGTGGAGCCAAAATGTATCTTCTACCTATAACTTCCACCCATTTGTCCTCGTTCTTCATCTGGAACCATACAGAATAAATTTATACTCTCTTCTTCAACGGAGCCCTTCAAATAAGCCTAAATCTTTTCTTCTTCAGATTAAATGTCCCTAGATCTTCACTATATCTCATTTGAAATTATTTTAAGTCATTGTGACTTTCTTCTGGGCATGTTTCAAATAATCAGGGACCCTCTTAAAATATGGCCCCCAGGATTGAATACCATCAACTGGGCCACACCTAAGCTAAATACCATAACCTAGCCAAGTGTTACTAATGGTAAACTCAGTTGAAACTAATGAGGAGGCTATCAACTCTTTCCACCCTAATCCACTAGCCCCAGAAGAATCCATCCACTTGGCAGCTTCATTGACCATAGATTGAGAACTGGAGAGCACTCAGGTCATCTAGTCTAACACTCACTTTATAGAAGAGGAACCTAAGACCCAAAATATGAATTGACCAATGTTATGCAGATAGAAAGTAGCAGAGAGGCAGCTAGGTGGTTCAATGGAAACAGCACCTGCCCTGAAATCAGGAGGACCTGAGTTCAAATCCAGCCTCAGACCAAACACTTGACACTTACTAGCTTGTGTGCCTCTGAGCAAGTAATTTAATGCCAATTGCCTTAAGAAAAAAAAAAAGCAGCAGAGCTGAAATTTGAGCTCAGGTTATCTGAATCTGGTGTTTTTCTCTGTTGTACCACATTGCCGCCTCTCTTGGTAAGTGTTAAAATAAGTTTTGTGTCCACACTTGGCATCAGGGTTGAGAATAGAGTGGTAACACTTAGAGAAAACATACTTTTTGGGAGGGAGCTAAAAGAAGCTTGAAATCAAGCCCCACAGGACCTTCAAAGTATCATGTTAGAATTGTAAAGGACCCTAGGAACTGTCAAGTCTCTCTGACCCCCTCTATTTGGAAGAAGAGCAAGCTAAGGCCCCAGAACATGAAAGTGACTTTTCCAAGCAAATTAGGTGGTCCAGTGATTAGAGTGCTGAACCTGGAATCAGGAAGACCTGATTTCAGGTCTAGCTTCTGACACTTACTAGCTGTGTGACCTTGAACAGAAAGCCCTACAAAAACAGTGGTCTGCATTCTCCTGATTTCACAAGCAACTTAAACAAGAAGGAAGGGCTCGCCATTCTTTCAAAGTGCCCTCCCACCCCAAGCTCACCACTTTACTCTCTCTCATACAGTCAAATTCAAAAGAGTAGTTCTCAAAGTGTGGTCTGTGAACTCTTGGGGGTCACTGAGATCCTTTCAGGGGATCCACAAGGTTAAAGCTATTTTCACAATTATGCTGAGATCTTATTTGACTTTTTTGCCATCATTCTCTTACAAAAGTGTAGAGTGGAGCTTTCCAGAGGCTATGTGACCTGTGAATTAGAGACTCCTGAAGACTGAGTTCATATCTCATCTGCAGAATTGTACTTTTGCCTTACAAATGGATGCATCTGCAGCCATGATTAGACTTGCTGTTTTGCTTGTTTTCTTCCAATATCAACACCAACTAATCACCAAAGAAGATTTTCTTTTATAGGAATGATTGGACATTCCTATAAACATAAGTGGTGCTGAAATATTCAAAATCTCAACTAACGTTTTTGAATCTCATGATTTATCCTAGAACAAGTGTGCTGACATTTATACTGATAGTACAAAACCAACGGTGACTAAGATTGTTGGCACCTTAATATGAATTCAAGCAATGACACTACACTGTACATCATACTCTTCACTGTCATGCACTCATAATGAAAAATAATGCCAAGTTCATATAAGAATGTTCTTGATGAAATTATGAGAAGTATAAAGTTTACTTAATCTAGACCATTGAGGACATATCTTTTTAACATTGAGTGTGACAAAATGGGAAGTCCTCATTACTACTGCATACAAAAGTGTAGTGGTTGTCTCTAGAGAAAGTCCTTATGTGACTGTTAGAGTTGTTTGAATTAGTAGCTAAACTGGCTGATTCTTTCATGGAATAACATTTGTACTTGAAAGAATAAATGACAAAGCATAGATATTCAGACTTAGGTATTTTGCAAATATTTTCTTTTCTTTTTTACTTTTAAATACATTTTTATTTTATTAAATACTTCTCCATTGCTTACAAAAAAAATTTTAACATTCATTAAAAAACTTTTAATTTCCAGATTCTTTCCCTCCTTTCCACCCCTTGAGAAGGCAAGCAATATATTCATGCAAAACATATTTCCGTATTAGCCACATCAGCAAACATTTTCTTGAAAATGAACAAGGAGGCGTTCACTCGAAACAAAACATTATTTGCCATTATTTGTTGCCAAGGAAAAAATTCGAGCTTTCAAGAGAAAATCAGAATTTTGGAAAACCTGTTTCTGCCATCATGACCTTGACAGCTTCCCAAGATTTTTCTGATGTGATTAGTTGTGATATTAATGAATGTGATTTTTTTGGTATTGTACAATAAAAGGTGTCAATATTTGGAAAATCTACATAACTCAGTGGACTGATATTTTCCAAATGACCAATATATGATATTATAAAGTTATGCATGGATAAAAGATGCAAAATGCAAAGAAGAACAATGTTTAGTGGAACAGAGTACTAAAAGGGTACTAATGTGGTTTCAGATTCCAGACTGCAACTAACTTTTAAGAAACTACTGCTTATTGAGTTTTAGTATAGTATCACAAAGAATATTCATAATTATCTGAAAAAGTTATTAAAATGCTTCCCCTTTTTATTTTTTTAAAATTATTTTTTTTCTCAAATATATGTAAAACAATTTTAACATTCATCTTTTAAAATGTTGAGTTTCAAATTTCACTTCCTCCATTCCCTTTCCCTTCCTTGAGACTGCAAGCACTTTGTTATAGATTATACATATGCACTCATGCAGAGCAAATTTCCACATCAGACATGGTGAAAAAAAAAACAAACAAGAGGAAAAATAAAGTTTTAAAAATATGCTTTAATCCACATTCCGAATTTCTCAGTTCTTTCTCTGAAAGTGGATAGCATTTTTCATCATAAATCCTTTGAAATTGTTTTAGATCATTGTATTGCCCAGAATAGCTGTCATTCACAATTGATCATCATACAATATTGCTGTTACTGTGCACAAAGATCTCCTGGTTCTGCTCATTTCACTTTGCATCAGTTCATATATGTCTTTTCAGTTTTTTCTGAAATTTGCCTGCTCATCATTTCTTATAGCACAATAGTATTCCATTACAATCCTATACCATAACTTGTTCAGTCATTCCCCTATTGATGGGCATTACCTCAATTTCCAATACTTTGCCACCACAAAAAGAGCTGCTCTAAATATTTTTGTACATATAGGTCATTTTCTTTTTTCTTTTTCTTTGATTTCTTTAGAGTACAGACCTGGTAGTGGTATTGCTAGGTCAAAGGTGTGCAGAGTTTTATAGCCCTTTGGGCATAGTTCCAAATTGCTTTCCAAAATGGTTGAATCATAAAAAGTGAAAAAGACCCCCAGGTACACATGTACAGTGTCACTGGATCAACGAATATATGGCAGGGGAGTAAAATGTAAGAAGACTGGAAAAGTAGAAAGGAACTAGGTTATGAAGGGAGGGGTTTGAATGCCAGACAGAGCATTTTGTGTTTGTTTCTGGAGGCAATAGGAAGCCACTGGAGTTTATTGAATAGCAGAGTGACATGGTCCAACTGTAGGAAAATCACTTTAGTGGCTAAATGGAGGATGGATTGGAGTGAGGAGAGACTGGGGCAGGCAGACCCACCAGCAGGCTATTGCAGTAATCA